AAGAAAGCAGTGGCAACCCACCTCTGAAGTGTGTGAATAAATAAAATACACACTGACAATCACAGGTTTCTGAGTCTGCAATTTCATCTACAGGGTTCTGAATTCATAGAGCTGAAACAATTTCTGAGATTGCCAAGAGAATCAGGCTTCACTGTGATCCCAGGGACTCATGTCAGAGTTTCAGCACTCCAGCTGGAGCCCAATGAAAGAGGACAGGCCTTTTTTTTGAATGGAAAAGTTAAGAGGGGTCAGGGCACTGGCAGAATGAATTCCACAGAGTGCTGTGCTGTCTGGGGTTAGACTTGTTTCTTCTACTATGGGACTGGGATTCAACACTTGGTGTTTTGTCCAAAGTCTCCTCATTCGCTGCTTCAGACGAATTTAGACTAAAATTGTCTAATCCCCAACCGTAGCCAAAACCACTCCCCAAGTAGAGGAAAATGTGGTTGTTTGCACAGAAAGTACTCAATGCTTGCCTTTAATTGGCAGTAGAGTTGAAAACAATATATATGTATTAATATTTTCCATTTCCTGGACAAGATTCAATAGTCTTTAGCATGAAGTGACTTGTCCAAAGTCACAAGAGGAGTAGTAGGAAGAGGAAGAGGAGGAGTAGAAAGAGTAAAATCAGTTCTGCTATAATGCATATTTTGAAAAGGCAAATTTGTTCCTACATAATTGATACATTAGAGAACGATGAGAATTTCGCCTGGACTTTTGAGCAACTTTATAATCTGCTTCAGCCCTGGTCCCCTTTGTGCCAGAGTTGCAACCCACCGAGGCCGCTATCTCACCCATAGCTGTCAACTTTGCCAGCCCAGGCCTGTGGGAACCAGAACCAAGCCCAAGACACTAGAATGCCACCGTGTGATGTAGTATTTCTGTATGTCTTAATCATTTAACATGAGTAACATGAGTAAAACAACTCTACTATTTTTATTAGGATTTCATATTTTTACGTATCATTGATGTTTTTCAGTGTTGTGCTCCTAATCCCACTTTTCCTGTTATTTTTATTGTGTAAATCTGTATAACATGGTAATTTCGAGGAATGCATATGTCATGTTGTAGCTGAACTGACTAATAATAATGATGAAAATGATGATTGATAACATATAGAAATTTAAAGTTTACAAAGCACTTTACATATATTATCTCAAATGATCCTCACAACAACCCTGTGATATAGGTATTGCTATTACCACCACTTTACAGATGAGTAAACTGAGGCTAATAGACATGAATTTTCTTGCTCAGGATCACACAATTAGCAAGTGGCAGAGCCAAGGTCTGAAACAAGGTTCTCTGACCAGGTTTGAATAGAACATTTCCAGCTCCCTTGCCACTGCACCACAGCTGCCTCTCAAACTCTATGCCAAACTCTAATCAGATTAACGAGGTGAAAAGGTTAGACTGCACTAAATGCTTATGGCATCAGAAGAGAAACAGGTTCAAATGATGAAACAGAGTAAAATATGCATGTATTGTAATCTAGTTCAATCACTGACTCAACCTGCCATTGGATGGAGACACGTCTGTGGGGGATTGGGTTAATTCTGGAATTTGCTATTCCATTGAATGAGGCAGAACATAGAAAAGATACAGAACTGATTAATAATGGTAATAACATTTCTCTAATGCTCTAAGGTTTACAAGAGGCCTTTATATGGTATTTATAAGTATTATCTCATACAGTATATGGTATTTATAAGTATTATCTCATTTGATTCTCACAACAACCCTTGGAGGTACGTGCTGTTACTATTCCCATTGGGGAGCTAAAAAAACTGAAGCAGGTGGATGTCAAGTAACTGGCCCAGGGTCACACACCTAGTAAGTGTGGGAGATAGAGTTTAAACTCAGGACTTCCTGACTCCAGGCCCAGCACTCTAACCACTATGCTATCTACCTGCCCTAAGCAGTTTAGTGGCCCCATTTCTATTTGAATTTAATATCACTGTGCCACCTCGCTGATCCATGAAATAAACAGAACTCTCCTTAGCGAGTGAGAGGAAAGGGAGCCCAGGTGAGGGGGAGGAAGAAGAGGAAGGGGAGACTTTCAAGCCAAGAGGCAGTGTGGTATAGTCCAAAGAACATTGGGTTGGGAATCAAAAGGCCTGGGTCCTAGTCTGAGGTCTGGTATTGATCTATGTTTGACTAAGAAAAACTCATTTCTCATATCTGGATCTCAGTTTTATCATCTGTAAAATGAAGTCATTGGATGAAATATCTATAAGATCCTTTTTTTCAGCTTTACAATCTGTGATTCTGAGGAAGTTTTGAGTTAAAGGTAGGTCAAGTATTGTCAACACTGATAAAAATATTCTGTGATTCTTGGAAACAGCTAACTCTTCACCTCTTAAAACAGCCAACTTTTCACCACCAATGAAGTTTCTTTCCCCCTCCTCTGGGCCAACATGCAGATCCATCCTATGTTTCAGTGATGCAGAAGGAGTTCTGGGAAAAACCTGGCACCTCAACCTTAAAACACTTTCCACCACCCCTTGATCTACTTGCCCACCAGGTTGCCATGGTGCCCCAAAAGAAAGTCCTGTCAGTGTCCTGATCACATAACCCCTTGTAAGAAAATGGCTGAGCTACTTAGTATGACAGGATCTTGGCTCCTGCAGAACTGATACAGCATCTCCGGCTACATGGGCATAATCTTAAAAATAACTCCTCGATCTGTAGTTTGGGGTTATAACTGGCAGGATTCAAGAACAAACAGATGAAAACTGGAATCGTCCCATTTCACACACATGCTGGCTTTAATTCTTGGCCTCTGTTGCTACTCTCAGATCCCTTGCCAACTCAGCCCCTTTCTGGACTCCAGGCTTTGTGTAATCCTCATACCATTTTGCCAATAGGCCTCCAAGTTTTATGTTTCCAATCTCCTGCTTCCCTTTACCCCTGCCCCAAGCATTCTAATAGTCCATTCATGGCATTCTGTCTGGATCTCAATCATCTGCCTCATTCTTGCTTACTCAAAATGCTTTCCAAGGGCACCATATAAAGGACTCTGAATTTTTATCGACATTGGCACACCCACAACCACATGATTTATAAGGATATTCACCCCAGAATGAGTTAGATGATAAGCTAAAGCAGGGTGAACAGGTGGTAGGACACTAGAATGGAGGTGGGATAAAGACATGACAGATTGGCTAAAGTGAAACTTTCCAGACTACTTTGAGATATAACAATCAAAAATAATCATCTAATTAAAGGACTCCAGTGGCCCGTGAAGACTTGAGTAAAAAGTTCTAGAAGGCCCTACAGTACAAAGGAAAGAACACTGGATTAAGAGTCTTGAGTTGGAATCCTAGTTCTTTCACTTGTGTGACTTTAGATAAGTTGCCTACCTTCTCTAGGCCTCCCTTTCCCACATGTAGAAAAATAAAGGTGCATGTGCATGTGTGTGTGTGTGACTGTATGTATGTATGTATGTAACTAGACATTTAAGATTCCTTCCAGCTCTGCAACTCTGTGATTATATAATTCTTCAGCTGGAGGACAGTTTTTCCGAAGGAAGAATTGACCAGGAGTCCTTCTGAGTTAGGCTCCCATAAGGGATCTATTATCTGATTTCAGAGGTCACAACACAGTTGTTTGTCCTGATTACAACAATCTGGAGATTAAAGGTCAAAGCTGCCACCTGGCAGGTGGAGCTGGCTAGAAACTAAAATGAACAAAGAGGGACACAGCCTTGACATGAAATCCCATGAGCTCAACTTTGGGCAGCAGGAAATGTGCTTTGGGAAAACCCACTCTCTACATCCTTACCCAAGAGCAGTGGAATTTCACAGATGCTACAGCTTGCCTACATAAATCCACAGCATAGTAATCAGGGAGGGGCAAGGGATTCCTATCTAGTCCCCTTCCCCCTGCCACTTCCTCCCCCTTCAGTTTTCCCCCACCTCACACCTTCAACTTCAGTATTATTGTTATAAGCAAAGTGGGGGAAGCGGCATTGTAATTGGCTAAGATAGAAGTAGGGGGAGAAAAGCAGTCACCCCACTCTCCCTGACTGTGAATTCACCTACATTTCATCTCCACAACTCAAGAGGGTAGAAAGGGAGGAAAAAAAAAGAGAGGCATAGGGATTTGTGATTTCTTTTTAAAATCAACATCCCCCCCACCTCCCCCCACACACACATGCACACACACACACACACACACACAAACACACAATTTTAACCAACCAAACATGGCCCAGTAGAAGGCGAATGAGCTGACTACAACCTGAACACATCTCAGTGAATATTCCCTGGGTTGAAGGTTCAAACATCACAAATTGCTTGAGGAGCCCTGACAAGAAGACTGACCACTTCCTTATCATAACCTCCTCCTGAAACCACTACTTCTCTGCATCAATGGCCAAGCTCCTTAAATGAAAAAAAAAAAACACAACAATGTTCTAAGAGCCCTGTAATACCTGAAACTTGCAACTTTAAGGAGAAGAAGTGGGAGGAAAAAAGGAAAGTCTTCCATCTGGTCAGCCATTCACACTGTCTGCTTCTCATCCAGAGTTGTTGCTTTCATCAGGTCAAGCTTTCTTTCCTCTTTACATTAATCATTACCCCAGCACTCCTCAGGCTGGCCCATACTTTTATTTCTATTGGACAACCTCAGAAAGCAATATTGGAAAGAAGATCCCCAAAACGTGCCAGTTGGTCCTTCCAAGAGAAGGAACACATAGGATCCACAAAACCACCCTTTTATGTTAATCATCCTGCATCAAGCATTTTGCATCAAGCAAAAAGCTATTTGCAAGACTCTCCAAAAGCAAATCAAAGGCAAGCTGCCAGTGTGGTAGAAAGGAAGAGGAGAGATGCACACAAACACAGAAGCACATCGTGGCTTGTGATGTGCTTCCAGAAGTTAATTTGCAGCGAACTCCTCCAACCCTGGGGTGTGCACTCTGAAAAGGGGAGATTGAGAAACTGAGACAGAGAAACAGTCCCAAACCAAGAAAAGGAGAGAATATTTTCAGTACTCACAGTTTCACCTGTGGCTTGAGAGCAAGTCCACTCTGATCAGACCTGCCACTTGAAAAAGAGATGAAAGATTTGTGAGAGAAATTTTGCTATGCATATTCACCCATATACACACATATGCACATGCATGCTCACACACACACTCACACACACATGACAAAAACTGAAGAATCAGCCATAGTTTAGAATGTATAGAATAAGTTTGAGCATGGCACTGGGTTTGGTGGTGAGAGGGCAAACAAGTTTGTAGGGAAACTATGAGAACCTTCTATATGCTAAGTCAGATGGGGTCATGAAATAGCTAAGAATACATCCTTATTCAATTTACAGCAATTATACTCACATTCTGCTAGACAAATAGATTTTACAAGCCCTCAGTTAAATGCAGATAATTATGGCTGCTAGTGTCGAGGGACAGCACTGCCCAAGCTCAGGAGCAAGAATAGCATCCCTAAGTTCTACTAATGTCGTAAATTAGCAGGAAACATCCCAATGGCAACAGAGTAATTACCAATGATTTCATTTTCCTTCTCACTCTCTCTGTTTCAGTGGGCTGCTATGCCGTGTGTGTGTGTGCGTGTGTGTGTGTGTGTGTGTGTGTTTTCAGCATATGCTGCTGTTAATGGCTCTTCTGTTACTTCATCTGCTCACTAAGATTTTTTTTTAATTTGGAAGCGCTCTCTCTCTCTCTCTCTCTCTCTCTCTCTCTCTCTCTCAGAGGCTTGCTGATGCTCCAAGAGCAGCTACTGTAGAGGGTGGACATAAGCACATGGTTCTAGAAAAGCAAAAGATGAAAATGTCAATACTGTCCTGCTCCCTTCAGCAACTGCTACTAAAATGTGGTTCCAGGGCTACTCAGAGTCATTGAGTATGCAATAGGCTAAGAAAAGAGTTTTCCCCAGAACTTGTCAGAGAGGAGCCAAGCACCTAGGAAGAATCATGTACACTCAGTCCTCCACTGCCTCACCTCCCACTCAGTTCTCTATCCATGGTTTCTGGCTTCTGACCCTCACTACAGAAACTGCTTTCTTGATGGTCACCAAAGATGTTATATCTGCTAAATTCAATGGACTTTGCCCAGTCATCATTGAACTTGACCTTTTTGAAGCTTATGATCCTGTCTACCACTTCCCTCATACCTAACAGCTCCTTCACATTCTCCTTGCTCAATCCTTATCTATCTCCCACCTCCTATTGGAGAGTGTTCATCAAAGATGTGTCTAGCGTCCTATTCTCCCTCTATACTCTCTTGAATATTTCATTTATTTCCATAGGTTTAATTATCAGCTCTACATAAATTACTTCTCTGTGGGTGTTTAAATATATACTTATATAAACACACATACATATATAAGTCTGCATATACATGTATATGTGTCTATCTGAATCTACATATACATATAGATCTCCAGACTTATGAGAGAAGATAATTAATTCTGTTTTAAACATATTGAGTTTGAGATGTTGAAGAAACATCCAGGAGACATCCAAGAGACAGTTAACAATGTTAAAAACAGAACTCATTAGCTCCTTTCCCGAGTCTGCTTCTCTTCCAAACGTTTCTCTTTCCGGTAAGGGCACCAGCATTCTTCCAGTCTCCCAAATTTACAGCCCCAGAATTATCCTTGGATCTGACCTCTCCTTTACCCCCTTATCTAACCAGTTGCCAAGTCTTTCCAATTCTCCCTACACAGCATCTATCACATCCATTCCCTTCTTTTCACTTACAGGGCCATTACCTTAGCTCGGGTCCTCATCATCTTCTCTGTTCTCCCTGCTTCTCTCTCTTCTCCAGTCTATCTTCCACATAACTCCCAAAATAATATTCCTAAGACACAAGTCTCATCATGTGACTCCTGGGCTTTACAATTTTCAGTGGCTACCTATTACTTCTAGGGAAAAAAATACAAATCACTCATACTGGAACTTAAATCCTTCCACAATCTGACTCCCATCTACTTTTCAGTATTATTTCACATTCCTCCCCTACACATGCACTGGATTCCAGTCAAAACTTGCCTACTATCTGGTCCCCAAACTCATCATTGCCATATCTATGCTTTGCATGGCTCTCCCCCATGTCTGGAATGTAACTTATTTCTTATTCTTCCCTCACGTTCATTCATTTGGTCATGCCCCCAACTCTTCATAACCATAGCATGGCTATACTGTCCGTGGGGTTTTATTGGCAAAGATATTAGAGAGATTTGCCATTTCTTTTTCCAGTGAATTAAGGCAAACAGAGGTTAAGTAACTTGCCTAGGGTCACACAACTAGTAAGTATCTGAGGCTGGATTTGAAACTCAGGTCTTCCTGACTCCCAGCCCAGTGTTCCATCCACAGAGCCACCTCGATGCCTCCTCTTCCTTCTTAGTATCCTTGGTTCAGATGCCATCTCCCCTACTTGATCCCCCTGATTAGTGCTGTCTCTCCTTCCTCCAGTAGAATGGAAAAGAATGGAAATATCTTGAGGGTAGAGACTGTTTCTTTTTGCCTTTGTATCCATAATGCCTAGGACAGTGCCTTACATGTGGTTTTAATAAGACTTTGTAGAATTTAACTGAATTTTCAGATGTATACCATATTGTTGCTATCTGTGCAGCTTAAAAGTCTCCTAATCTGCTCTGTGTTTTTAGAAAGTAGAGGAGTTATATTTTCAAATTCAACGGAAAAAATTAAGAAATATTTTGGCTGTATAAGTCCCAAATACTGATAGAAATGTATATTAGCCTACATAAATCCAGATATACATGAGGTAATGTGATATACTGGAAAGACTATAGATTAGGAATCAGAAGACCTGATTTCTCATCCCAGGGATACCACTTATTAGACATGTGATCTCCGAAAAGTCATTTAATCTCCCTGAGCCTCATTTTTCTTATCCAAAAAAAATAGGAGATAAGAGTACCTTCCCTCAGGGAAAGGATTTGTTTTTGAGAACCAAATCACTGTAATAGAAATAACATGATATGGAATAATAGGACCTGGATTCAAAGCCATTCTCTGTTACTTACTACCATTCCTCTCGAGAATATGTCCAATTTATCCTGTATATAGCTTGTTTGCACAAAGGTGCTTGCATTATGACTCCCCCATTAAACTGTGAGCTCCTCGAAAGCAGGGACTATTTTTGCCTCCCTTTGTATCTGTAGTATTTAGCACAGTGCTGGGCACACAGTAGGTACATAATAAATGCTTGTTGACTTGACACTTTCTTTGAGCCTCAGTTTCATTACTTGTAGACTAGGGATATAAATGCTTGTACCAATGCCACTGTTGTGAAATGCACTTTGTAAACCTTAAAGTACTATAAAACTGTGTGAGACTATTATTATCTGTAAAATATTTTGGACTAGATGTTATCTATGGACTTTTCCAGCTCTAGATTACAATAATTCTATGAAAATACTATTATTAAAATGCTATTATCATCATAGAGGACATCCCCTAAAATAATGACTTCCATATCCTCCTTTGTAACAAAAATAGAAGCTGTCCTCCTCTGGACATTTTTATACAGGTGTGCACACATTAACTATATGCCTTTGGCTGAAAGCATAAGGTGAAGAGGCCAGGAATGAAGATCAGAGGGAAACAAGGGTGTTTAAAAAGCATGGAGAAAATTGGGCTTAGTCTTAGAATGAAAAAATCAGCCCCTTTAGAAGAAAACAGAAGATGTGGAAAGTAAACAGGAAAAGCAGTTGAATAGCAAAGATGATCAATTTAGCCTTCTCCTTTAACCCAAGCTGATAGATTAGGGATACAGGAAAAACCCAAAGTCCCTATTCACCAAGAACAGAGTTAATACCAGGAGATGAGTTTGATAGAACAGAAAAAGACATAAGGGACAGCAAAGCTCTAGATCTCTGGATCCTGAACATTAGTTATTAATTCATTTGTGTAATCATTTATTTAACCAATATTTGTTAAGCATCTATTCTATGCAAGACAATTATAGGAGACATTTATTGCCCATCTCTCCTAATGCTGGAGATAGAAGTCAGGGGAAGTTTGATTTGAGTTAGGAAACAAAAAAATATTCAAAATGGCCTTAGTCCTCCATGGGTCCCTTTAGAGGCAGAGTGTTTCTTCAGGGGCAGGGTGACGCAAAGGCAGACAGACAGTGCTAAGAATCACATGATTTATAGCCTTTCCAATAAACTTCGATGTAGCTGTGGTACTCTAAATGTCCAAAACCAATGGATATAATATTGGAGCCAGTCAATCATATCACTCTTGACATTCTCACTATAAATTAAACTTTAAGAAGGAAAAAAAAGTTATAGCAAAGGGGAAAGACAGCTCACAGATTCTCTTTGGAGAAACTAATAAAGGAACTGGCAGAGTTGGTTTTATTGTGTACACAAAGACAACAAGAAACATCATTTCATGGGACATCTGGTCAACTCATAATGCTGTGTCCATATGTATTTACAAAAAAATCTCCATAAAAATTATGGGTCTGGAAGGAGCCTCAGAGAAGATATAGTCTAGGGGTGGGCAAACCACAACCAATGAGCCAATTCTTGCTCTGATTTTGTACAGTCTGTGAATAAAGAATGAAAAGCATAGAAACCAATCTTAGCTCTCAGACCATACAAAGAGGGACAATGGGTTAGATCTGGCATATGGGTCACAGTTTGCCAACTCCAGACATTCCAATCTCATTTTACAGATAAGGAAACTAAAGCCTAGAGAGGTTAGGTGTCTTGCTTTAAGTCATCCAGAAAGTATCAGAAGCAGGATTTGAATCCGGGTCCTCTGGCTCCAGGACTAGTGCTTACCACTATAGCACATTGCCTCTACCTTAAATAACTGCAGAGGATAAAGAAGTAAGGAAATTCTATGAAGAACTTGATCAGATGTTCCAAATTAAATCAACATATGTTTAGTGACTTCAATGGAAAGGTGGGAATAGGTAAAGATGGAAAGAAATATGCTGAAAAACAATGAATCGGGAATTAGCAATGAAAGACCAAAGACTCATAGACTACACTGAAGCCTCATGTCTATCTATATATCATGAATACTTTCTTCAATAAAAGTAT